CCTGATATCATGATATTAATAAGGGTACCTGATCTCAAGCCAGGCAAAGTTGAGACCAAAGGAAGGTCCAGACTTTACCTGTATGATGACTAATTGTATACCTAATCCTGAATTGTATCCCATATCTTTAAAATAAAAAAAGAAAAAGAGAAAGAAAAATTCTGAACTAGTCCTTGATTGATTTGCTGTATTTTCCTGTCTTGTATCTCTAGCATTCATCTATTACAAAGCAGTAACAAGAAATCATAGGTTTTCAAACAGTTGGCTGGGGCATGGTGGTTCAATCCTATAATCCCGGCACTTTGGGAGGTTAAGGTGGGAGGATTGCTTGGGGCCAGGAGCTCAAGACCAGCCTGAGCAAATTAATAAGACCCCTGTCGCTACAAAATATTTTTAAAAATTAGTCAAGTGTGGCCAAACACACCTGTAACCCCAGTTTCTCAGGAGGATGAGGCAGGAGGATTCCTTGGGTCCAGGAGTTCAAGATTACCGTAAACTATGATGGTGCCACTGCACTCCAGCCTGGGGGACAGAGTGAGACCTTGTCTCTAAAAAAACAAAAAACAAAAGAAACCCAGAACAGTAAAAGTCCTAGAGTTTTCCATGGGATTCTGACCACTAAACCCCAAAACAGAATCAGTGTGGCTGCTCAGGTGTAGCAAGGACAAGTAACTGGGAGCCCAACCACTGTAGCCTGTGAGGTCTCAAAACATGGCTTGAAACCAGCTAACTTTCTTGAACCGTTTCCTTTCATTGGTGAATAAAATAAAGCCCAAAAAGATGATTTGTGAAGGTCTACATAGCTGAAGTTTAGACTAGAATCCAGGTCTCTCGACTTTCACTCTGGAGCTTATTTCTGTATCAGACTGTACCCTTTCCACACTGGCTTTCCAAAGGCATCCCTTTTGGGTAAACTTAGTGACTCAGACATTAGGAAAAGATAAACATTTTGTTTAATCAAGAGCCTTGATTACCTGCCACTCAAGTATAACCACTGTTAAAACTTTGTTCCATCTCCTTATAGTTTTTTTCCTTATGAAACTATGTATAAGGATGGAGTTGGAGTCTATAATACTCAATGATCTATTACAGGAACAAAGATCTGAGTACCAAGTATACTCACTCATAAGCGGACCAGGGATTGGCAGTAGGGGGACACTACCGGGGTGAGGTGGACATAACATCAATAAAAGTATCCAATCCTTATCCAGGCGTGGTAGCGTTCGCCTGTAGTTCCAGCTACTCGGAAGGCTGAGGCGGAAGGATCACCGGAGCCCAGCAGGTTGAGGCTGCGGTGGCCGGGAGTGGCCACTGCACTCCAGTCTGGGCAACAGAGTGAGACTCCAACTCAAAAAAACAAACAAACAAAAAAAAGATCCAATCTTAAGCCAGGCAAAGAGGGGACCAAAAAAGGGCCCAAATTTTACTTGTATGAAAACTACTTATGTACCTAACCCTGAAATGTACCCCACATCCTTAAAAAAAATACACACACATGAAATTTTCTATCTGGCTGTTTTCTTCTTAATATTATATGTAAGCATTTTTCCAGGGTCTTCAACTTTCTTCAAAAATGAAAGTTTTAATGGCTGAATGGAGTTGCTTCATTGAGATTAGCATTTTTGTGTAATTAATCTCCTAAAACTAAATATTTCAGTTGTTTCAAATACTTTATGACAAATAAAGCTTCAGTGAGCATTACCGTACACAAATCTTTATATATTTCTGTGATTATCTCTCTATGGTAAATTCCCAAGAATAGAAATACTAAGTCAAAAGGTATGAATATTTTTAAGCCACAATACATGACTGCCCAATTACCCTCTAAACAAGATATTTTACAAGCAGTGTAATGAGAGTTTATTTAAACTCAATCTCACCACATTATTTTTTCTATCTTTTTTATCTACGTGGCAAAAATTGGTGTCTTTTAAATCACTAATGGTTTTTCATTAAGCAACTTTAAAAAAAAAATAAGGGTTAAGCATAAACTTCCTTTGCAATGCAGCAATACTATTCTCAGGTATTTACCCAAGAAAAAGGAAAACATATGTCTTCAAAGACTTATGTAGGCCTAAAGTGGAAACAACCTAAATGTCTATCAACTGATAAACGGATAAACAAATTGTGGTTTACTCATACTATAGAATATAATTCAGTAATAAAAAGAAAGATTAATACATGCCACAATAGGAATGACTCTTAAAAACATTATGCTAGGTGAAAGAAGCCAAAAGACTATACACCATATGCATGAGTCCATCTATATGAAATTCTAAAACACATTAAACTATAGTGAAAGAAAGTAAGTAGGTCAGTGGTTGCCTGTGGCCATGGGACAGGGAAGGGAATTTACTGGAAAGAGGCATAAGAATACTTTTTTAAAGTGAGAGAACTAGATCTTGATTGTGGCAGTGTTTACACAACTATAAACAATTACCAAAATTCACCAAACTCTACACTTAAAATGCTTGAATTTTTACTGTGTGGAAATTACACTTCAAAAAAATTGGAAAAAACAGAAACAAAACCAAAAGTAATTTAGAAATGTTCAGGAAAACAAACTTATCCTAAGATAGGCAAAAACGTTTTTTAAGCAAAAAACCCTTAAATTTTTTGGAAAAACTAACTTATTTTCATGTTTTGCATATTTCCTTTCCATTTTTGTTTCTATTCATACATACTCTGTAGCTATATCTATACAATACATGTAAATTTCTATTTTAAACATTTTTGTGTCACAATTTTACATATTTTTATATAGTCTTCAGGATTATAATTTTAAACAGTTATACATAATTGTTCAAAGCCCAGAAATGGTGCATTACCAAGTTTTAAAACAGATAATGCCTCAATGTTTGGCTGCCATCAAGTGGACAGACTGTGTAATGTTGCTGAGATTTAACACCATTTTATGTTTCTTGGTTTTTTGGTTTTTTTGTTTTGCTTTAAGTTCGGGTCTCAGTCTGTTAGCCAGACTGGAGTACAATGGCATGATCACAGCTCAATGCAGCCTCGACCACCTCAGGTCATCCTTCCTCCTGAGTCTCCTACAAGTATGTGCTGAGAGTCCAGCTAATTTATTTATTTATTTATTTATTTATTTATTTATATTTGTAGAGATGAGATCTCACTATTTTGCCCAGGCTGATCTCAAACTCCTGGGCTCAAGCAATCCTCCCGTCTTGCAAAGTGCTGGGATTATAGACATGAGTCACCATGCCTGGCCCTGTTTTATGTTTTATATATTAAATGTTTAAAAATTAATTAAAATTTAATTTTAAAATTTGAATATATAAAAATTAAAACCAGATCATTGTATAATATACCAGAACATGGTCCTCATCTATTTCTTGAAGTTATTTAATTCTCAAATCAGAATCTAGCGAAATCCCATAAGTAAAAAATTTCCCATTGAAATGGAGGACTTTGCAAACCAAAACCACAGGTGTGAATGACAGACAGAGTCTATCTTGAGCCCCAAACCAAAGAATCATTTAGGGACTTCCAAATGCAATAGTCTTGGCATGAGTCAGTTAAGTGACTTCTAACAAAACAGTAAGTCCTCTCAGGAAGATCAATGGTGAAGATTGTCTGAAAGACAGAGACAATTAGAAATACATTTCCATGTGGGAAGGACTTGCTGATTCTCCTTAAGTAACCCTTATTTTCTCCCCATTAGTCCCTTACCTCTCCAGTTCAAGCTTTTACTCTTACATTGAAACAGTAACTGGCTAGAGACACAAAAAAGAAAGATTATTTCAGGAAAGTGTTTGGTCTCTGCCAGGGTCAAAAAAAGAATGACTTTTTCAAAAGAAGGCCTTTGAATAACACCGAACCATTGCCTGCCACCAAGCGGGAGACCGCACTCTGTTCGGCCTGTAACCCAACACTCCTCCCAATTATTTTTCCTGGCAAATTTTACCCTCTCCATCTTACTCATTTAAAGCTGACAACCTCCATGGACGGAAAAGGATCAGTTTTATAAGAAACAAATAAAAAGCCTCTAGGAGTGCCACTAAAAGAACTCTTAAAGGATGATCATGAGTCCACAAAGTGAAAAACCCTTGAAAAAGATGGAACCCAGTCCACTGAGACAGGAGTGCTGGGGGCCCACGGCTTTATTGTAGTACATTATAGAGCCTTTCTTCTATTTGCTGAAGTGTTTGTTTGCTTGTTATAATTTTAACTATCTGTCTTAGTAAGAGAAACATTCATGTGATAAAATTCAAAATCTACAGAAAGGTAAGCAGTGAAAGATCTTCTTCCGACGACTTTCTCTGACTGACAAGACCCATTCTCAGAAGGAACCATTAACCATTTCTTGTGATTCCTTACCGAAATATTTTATGCATGTAAATTCTACTCATATATATATATCCTATCCCTTCCCCTCTTGTTATACCAGTAGCAAACTACTATATATAATGATTTTTTTTTTTACTTTATAATATAATATGTTATGGAGTTTACACCTTAACACAGTAGTAAATACAATAACCTCATATTTCTGGGTTTTTTTTTTTTTTTTTGAGTCAGAGTCTCTGCCGCCCAGGCTGGAGTACAGTAGCATGCTCACGGTCACCGCAGCCTCGACCTGCTGGACTCAGACGACCCTTCCGCCTCAGCCTTCCAAATAGCTGGAACTACAGGCGTGTGCTAGCACACCCAGCTTATTTTTTTATTTATTGTAGAGACGAGGTCTCACCAAGTTGCTCTTTTTTTTTTTTAAGAGATGAGCTCTTGCTATGTTGCCCAGGCTGGTCTCTAACTCCTGGGCTCAAAGCAAGCCTCCCATCTTGGCCTCCAGAGTAGCTGGGGCTACAGGCACAGGCCACCATTCCTGGCTTCATATTCATTTTTAAGCTGTACCATATTTAATTATGTGACTATACCATAAAATATTCATGGAGTTCCTTATTAAAGTGGACACATAGCTTGTTTACAACCCGTGTGCTTTATTATTATTATTATTATTATTAATTATTTTATCTTCTTACCTGAAACTTTCTGAGCAAAGTTGACTGCTTCTTCAACTGGGTCTGAGTTCACAATTTTATCTAGAATACCCAGCTTGAGTGCTTCACCTGCAAAAATATGTCTACCTGAAACAAAACAAAATAAAACAATCAAAGAACAATGTGAGATTAAGTATTACGCTCTCTAGCAGGGAAGGCTTTCTGTCCAGGATATAAATATCTGTCATTAAATAAAATAAACAAGGACACACTGTTACAGTAGAAAAATCACCAGAGGTAACCTGAAAACTTGGATTCAAGCTCCAGCTCAACTTTTTTTTTTGAGTTGGAGTCTCACTCTGTCACCCAGACTGGAGTGCAGTGGCTGCTCCCGGCCACCGCAGCCTCGACCTGCTGGGCTCTGGTGATCCTTCCGCCTCAGCCTTCCAAGTAGCTGGGACTACAAGCACGCGCTACCACGCCCAGCTCATTTTTGATTTATTGTAGAGATGAGGTGTCGCCAAGTTGCCCAAGCCGGTCCAGCTCAACTTTCTACTAATTCTCCGACCTTGAAGAACTGCATCACGACCACAATTTCCTCACTGATAACTGGGTATGCATACCTCAGTAATTCTGAGTATTAAGTGAGAATAATATATTCTCTTCATGGTCTATAAATCTCTATAGAGACAGGGTTCAGTAGCTCAGCCTGTAATTCCAGCACTTTGGGAGGCTGAGGCGAGTGGATTGCCTGAGCCCGTGGGTTCGAGACCAGTCCCGGCAATTTGGTGAGACCTCATCTCTACAATAAATGAAAAAATTAGCCGGGTGCCGTAGCATGTGCCTGTAGTTACAATTACTGGGAAGGCTGAGGCGGAAGGATCGCCGGAGCCCAGCAGGTCGACACTGGGGTGGCTGTGAGCATGCCACGGCACTCAAACCTGGGCGACAGAGTGAGACTCCAACTAGAAAAAAAAAAATCTCTGTAGAAACATTTTATAAACTATAAGTCTCTCCCTAGGTGCAGAGGCTCATGCCTGTATTCCAGCACTGTAGGAAGCCAAGGCAGGAGGATCACTTGAGCCCAGGAGGTCAAGGCTGCGGTGAGCCATGATTGTGCCACTGAACTTCAGCCTGGGCAAGAGAGTAAGACCCTGTTTCAAAAAATAAATACAAATAAAAATCTAAGTCTTTATAGAAATACAAGATGAGGCCAGGTGCAGTGGTTCAAGCCTATAATCCCAGCACTCTGGGAGGCCGAGGTGAGAGGACTGCCTGAGCTCAGGGGCTCAAGACCAGCCTGAGCAACTTGGTGAGACCTCGTCTCTACAATAAATCAAAAAATAAGCTGGGTGTGCTAGCACACGCCTGTAGTTCCAGCTACTTGGAAGGCTGAGGCGGAAGGGTCGCCTGAGTTCAGCAGGTCGAGAATACGGTGGCTGTGAGCATGCCACTGTACTCCAGCCTGGGCAGCAGAGACTCTGACTCAAAACAAACAGGAAATATGAGATGATTTTTTTGATAATAAGAGAAGTAGTAGTGGCAGAGTAGTACAGTGATATCTACCTTATACTTAGCACACACCAGGGGCTGTGGCTGATTACAAAATTTTAAAAAAGACAGTCCCCAAACATAAATATATTTGGGTAGACAAGGGAAAAAAAACTATTAAGTTGATATTATATAAGGTATAATCAAAATTACACAGGACAAATGGGGTGAACTTCTACCATTTTTTGGCTCCCCAGTATCCTGGCCCTCCACTAGTCTGTGGAATCATGACTGTGTGAGCTTTGGCATCCTGCCTCCTATTACAAAAGCTGACAAGGAGGCAGGGATGATTAGACAATTATTCCTTCAGACTCGTGGCAGCTGGGATGTGCTTGGTGAACCAGTGCTCCAACAAGGGTTTTTAGCCTGAAGTTAGTGACACAAAGCAGCAGCAACAGGTTAAATCTCATTTCACAGGTGGCAACATCTAGCATCTGGTGGTGGTGGGACTGGCATCCTTCCCATCCAGTCATGCCATTGGCAGCCTCCAGTATAGAATGTTACCTTTGGGGGTGATAGAAGCTTGATGAGGGTTTGCATCGCTCCTGAATTCTGCCCTGACAGTTCCTCACCAGTTGTAGAAATGTTGTTTGATCTGCATATTCTGAAGAAGGGGATTGGGAGACATAAGCCTTCCTTACCAGAGGTCAGAAGGTAGGAGACAATGACACATCATTGCTTTCTTGTCAGTACCATCTTCCCTTCTGAAAAACGATCACTAAACCATCGTAGTGGCTGCAGTTCCACAGTCTTCACTGCACTTACAGTGTTGGTGGATGCGATCTGAGACTAAACCTCCATTGCTGGTTCTTGTTAGCACTTCAGAAAACTACAAACGGGTTTTCTTGATCAGACAGTTTGGTGATTTGGGGGCAGGTGTCCCTCTGGAAAAGCAATACTTGGGCAGTTTCTGGACGTGTCTTTGAAAACAAGCTTTTGGATCTCTCCTTGAGTGAAGAGTAAGGTGGGGAGTATGTGAATGGTTTCAGAAGTCAAGTATCTGGTGTATAAATCACTTGGGTGAGGGGTGAATGAATCAGCCTACTTGAATTAAGGGGATCAAATGAATACAGAATAAAACATGGAAACCTGAGTACTAAAAAGATTTTAGCCTGGACACAATGGCTCACTTCCAGCACTCCGGGAGGCCAAGGCAGGAGGATCACTTGAGGCCAAGAGTTTGATACCAGCTTGGGCATCAAAGCGAGACCCTGTCTCTAATTTTTTTTTCCAAACAGGATTTATTGAGAGGACAGAAAAGCTCCCACAGTGGGAGGGGACCTGGGGTAGCCCTCTAATTTTTAAAAAGTTTGCAAAATCGCAGCTCTAAAAGGATTTTGGGGTCAACTAAGCAAGGGAGATGTGAGCTACCCAGAGGATGGACTGAAAATTTCTTTAGTTATAATGATTTCTTCAGGCTTGAATTTTACAAAAATGAAAGTGTACCACTACTGTTTTCATAGAGTCAATGAGATTCCAAGTACAGTCATGCACATATAACATTTTAGTCAGTGTATATATGATGTGTGGTCCCATAAGATTATCATATTTTACTGTACCTTTTCTTTGATATGTTTAGATACACAAATACTTGCCATTGTGTTACAAATGCCTACAGTATTCAGCACAGTAATACACTGTACAGGTACAGTCTAGGAGCAATAGGTTGTACCATACAACCTAAGTGGGTAGTAGGTGATATCATCTAGGTTTGTGTAGTACACTCTATGATGTTCGCATAACAACAAAATCACCTAATGATGCATTTCTCACAATATATACTGTTGTCAATTGATAAATAACTGTACTTTTATTCTGTTTTAAAAAACTAAGGATCTAGCCGGACTCGGTGGCTCAGCCTGTAATCCCACGTCTTTGGGAGGCTGAGGTGAGTGAATTGTCTGAGCCCGCGGGTTTGAGACCCGCCTGGGCAACTTGGCGAGACCTCATCTCTACAATAAATAAAAAATGAGCCGGGCATGGTAGCACGCGCCTGTAATTCTGGCTACTCAGAAGACTGAGGTGGAAGGATCATCGGAGCCCAGTGGGTTGAGGCTGCGGTGGCCGGGAGCGGCCACTGCACTCCAGTCTGGACAACGGAGTGAAACTCCAACTCAAAAAAACCGAAAACCAAAAAACAAACAAACAATCAAAAACTAAGGACCTAAAGACATGGCTCTGTATATCCAACCCAAAGCATGGGCTGTGATTTAAACCTGTGTGTGTGTGTGTGTCTATGCCTCTCTCAGTGTAGATGACCACCACTGTTCAATGGGCTCTAATAAGGGCCCTGTTTAGAATCACTATAAGGAAACTCCAAGAGAACCAAGGCTGAGGGTTCTTTTTTCCAAGCTAGCTAATATCAATTTTGTCCCCCAACTTTCTTGATGGTTTCTTTTCCAATCTTTACATTTTTCCTTCTACAGGGAACACTTTCTAAATGTCATTTTCACATTCCCCTAAAATTGTGTATACTACCAAGAAAGATAGGTATATGATTTTAATGTCATCTTTCTTCTAATTCACTGTGATCTTTTCTATGCAAATCAAAAATCCATCATATTCCTACCATTTTAACCTCTTTTCTTCATTGTGTTAAAAATAATGACATTTCTTTAAGCAGTACCTTGGGAAAAGGCCAGTCCTGGTTCATTTTATTTCTTTTTGTCAAAGAAGTCAGTTTTCTGATTTCTCCTGATAATCTTGCCCTTCAGAATTAATACTGAAAATAGGGCCACAAAATTCCTTGATATTTCCCACCTGCTTTAATTTCTGTAAACCTTCAAATTTACAGACTCATTTCACACCATATGATTTCCTTGTATATTTTAGGCTTCTTTGCTTCCTTTCTATTTTGTCTTTTGCAGAGTATGTTGGACAGTAAGTATCCTCTTCTGAATTCTACATTAGGCACTTAAAATAGCTCACATTGCTTACAATGTACTTACCATGCTAAGTTAAAACCATTTCTAACTTGATTTATGGAAAAAATAGCACTCTTTCTCCTCCATTTAAAAGGAAAAAAGTCATTTTTAATACATATAGACTCATTGTTTTCTAATTTGGCTAATGTATACACAGTTTTGCATCATTATTTCTGTGTCAAAAGATACAGACTTATATGAGTAATTCTCAAACTTTTTGGTCTTAGGACTCTTTTTCACTCTTAAAAATTATAGAGAGGTTGGCATGGTGGCTCATATCTGTAATCCTAGCACTTTGGAAAGTCAAGGTGGGAGAATCACTGAGGCCAGGAGTTCAAGACCAGCCTGGGCAACACAGCAAGATGCTCTGCCTCAAAATTTTTTTTAAAAAAAAATAGGCAACCAGCCAGGCTTGGTGGCTCAGCCTGTAATCCCGTGCCTTTGGGAGGCTGAGGTGAGTGGATTGCCTGAGCCCGTGGGTTTGAGACCCCACCTGGGCAACTTGGCGAGACCACATCTCTACAATAAATCAAAACATCAGCCGGGCGTGGTAGCGCGTGCCTGTAATTCCGGCTACTCGGAAGGCTGAGGTGGAAGGATCGTCGGAGCCCAGTGGGTCGAGGCTGCGGTGGCCAGGAGCGGCCACTGCACTCCAGTCTGGGCGACAGAGTG